TATCGCCTAAGGTGGAACTTTTGCAGGCATAGTTTTTGTACCAACTTGATGGTTTCACGCCATGTCTTGGACTACAAAGTATACCTTTTGCCGGGAAAATATCGGTCTCTCCTAACAAATATTATGTCTGTCAGGAGAAATTTTGCCGCCAAAGACATCATTTTTTGTAGTTTTAGTTTTTAATTATTTTTTCCTTTTCTTTTTGTTGTTGCTTAGAAACCAAATTGATCAAATTCATTGTGGTGAATGATGACAGCTTACGTGATTTTCACGCATGCTCGAGCCAGCAAAATACAAAATATGTGACTGTGTCTTGTACTTTTTATTATTATTGTATTTATTTAATTTCTTTCTTTCTCAGTCGAAACCAGAAGTGCACAAAGATTTTGTGGAATGCAGGTCAATTTGGAATCTGATAACTTGACTTGAGGCCAAACGAAATAGGGCATAATTCGAAAGATATTCTCCACGGCTCCCTCTATATATTCCTGGTGGGTCCATGCTTTCTCTGAGAGTGCCATTTGGCATGACATTAGGACAATATAGAGTCGCCATCATTCAGCTACCATTTCTGTATTTAAATTAGACATTGAACCACTCATATCCATTCTCAATTGACTGGAGAGAAAAATGGCACATAGGTTGAAGAGTTCATACTAATAAACCTTCAAAAAGACGGCACATAAAACTATAACTTGTGATCCACTAAAACACATGCAATTGGATCTTCATCAACTTTTAGACACCAACTCGTGCAACAATTTCTTATTTACTGTAAATAAATAAAGTTCATCATGAGCTCCGAATGAAAATTAATGAAATACAGTCATATCAGTTGATGTCTGTAGTATCACTCAGAACGTGATAACAGAAAAGTGAAATTTAATTATCTCTTTCTTTAGTTGTAGATTTTAGATGGGAAAAGCAAAATGTGGAAATTTAGTATTAAAATGCTCAGCTAATTCCCTTGGTTTTGATTCTGCAAAACAAACAAAACCTCAACGGTAATGTTTTCTTTCAAGTTTTTTTTGTTTTTCTTAAACAAAGGATTTTTTTTTTTTTTTTTTTTTTTAAAAAAGGAAATTGAGCTAATCCAAACTGGTTGACTAGGACTTGGACCCTAGATCTTGACAAGTTTGATGGTTTCTGGTCTTTTATTCTCCCTTTATTTAGGTTGACGATCTGACCTCAGAAAATATGACTTTGCTGGCCTAATTGGTGGGGGCCAATTCTATAACATTATGGCCAAATGGGCTTTTTGCTAATTTGGACAATTCTCTAAAGTATGAGGCTATCAATTAAGAAATCGTCAAATTAAGCTATCGGATGGAATCCAAACCCAGAAACCAAACAAGTTCAATCCTTGACCCATTCATACTCAATTTATTTTGGGAATAATTTATTTTGGTGTGTCCCCAAAAATGTCTTTTCATGTGGGCCAATATGCCTCCATATGAGAAACAATAAGAAACAAAATATTTCAAACAAACAATGCATCTAAAAACCAGAGACTAGAGTAGAGACAATCCAAAAGTCTGAATATGATGAATTATTATTATTTAAATTAAAATCATATTAATTAATTCACAGCAGCCATCATTAACAGTTGCCCTGTAGTATTTAGTGGGTTAGTTGTTTCTTTCCTCATCTTCTTGATTTGTAATTTCATCTAGATCTAGATAGAATATGGGTTATATACATATATGGATAGTGACATTGTGTTTTATATAATTACAACACACTTTTATGTATGAATACTTCTAATCAAAGTAACATTAATCAAATTGTTGATAATCTAGCTGAAGACCCAAATTAATTAATGGAAAATAGTAGTTCATTTCTCTAGAACTAGAAGTACTCTTACCTTTCTGCCAATCGCCGTTTAATATGCGTGTATAAATTGTTTTTCCCTGCCAAATTAATTAATGGAAAATATTATCATCATGATCATTGATCAATAATATTTAAGAAAATCACTACCTGACTGACGTGGGTCTTGGCTTGTAGCATGCTAACCTTTTCTGTATGTCTTGGATATGCCGGCCATTCCTTTCCATCAATACCAAACAAGTGCCAAAATTCTGCTATGTCATGCACAGGACCTTTTCTCTGCTCACCACCTTTAAAAATAAACTCCTCCTATTTTCTAACACCCCCTTCATCGCCATCTATCTTCATTTGTGATTTTGATGAAAGCAAAATTTGAAATGGCTCATGGGACTATGAATATGATTCAATCCCATGAACCTTGGACTAACTATCCCAGTCCTGTTGTTGGGTTTCAAAATAATCCAACCTCCAATCCTTTCCCCAATCCCAAGCCTATTGAAAACCGGTTTGTAACCTTGGAGAGAAGTGAACTCTCTCAGTGGGTGGAGCATATCACCAAACAGCTCATAGACGACTTGCCTGAACCCCCCGCCGCCACCACAGACACCTTGCAAACATCCGAGGACTATTTTGTCCCGTCATCTCTCTCCACCGACTTAATTAGTCCGAGTAAAATCAGCCAGAGAAGCTATGGTGATCATGACCATGAGCTTCAATGGGGGAATGAGCTTCAACTCCATGCAGATAACAACATTAGGGCAAGAGGGATGAGCAAGCTTGATGAGCATGGCTTATCCCTAATCACCCTCCTCTTCGAATGCGCGGTGGCCATCTCCGTTGACAACCTCCCCGAGGCCCACCGGATGCTTCTTGAGCTGAGCCAGATGGCCTCGCCGTATGGGCCATCATGTGCTGAGCGCGTGGTGGCCTATTTCGCCAAGGCCATGACTAGTAGGGTTATCAACTCATGGTTAGGCATTTGCTCTCCTTTGGTGAATTACAAAAGCATTCATAGTGCTTTTCAAGTCTTCAACACTATCTCCCCCTTCATCAAGTTTGCCCACTTCACTTCAAACCAAGCCATCCTCGAGGCCTTTCACCGCCGAGATAGGGTTCACATTCTTGACCTCGACATCATGCAGGCATGTGATTTATCCAAATACTTTTATAATTTCTCTTGATATATATTGATATTTTGTCGATATTTATGTGTTTTTGAACATCAACTAACATCGATGTTGAATACTTCGTGTGTGCAGGGTTTGCAATGGCCAGCCTTGTTTCACATCCTCGCGACACGAATGGAGGGCCCTCCACAGGTGCGAATGACCGGTGTGGGAACATCATCGGAAAATTTGATGGAGACCGGTAAACAGCTCTCGAATTTTGCTAAGCGACTAGGGCTATCCTTCGAATTTCATCCAATTGTGAGGAAAATAGGTGACATAGATGCTTCCATGGTGCAAGTAAGGAGAGGGGAGACTCTAGCGGTGCATTGGCTGCAGCATTCACTTTACGACGCAACCGGCCCCGATTGGAAAACAATGAGACTGATTGAAGAACTAGCACCAAGAATTGTGACATTGGTAGAGCAAGACTTGTCACATAGTGGCTCATTTTTGGACCGTTTTGTTGGGTCACTACATTACTATTCGACCATGTTTGATTCACTAGAGTCATATTTGTCTAGCGACAACCCTAGCAGGCACAATGTGGAGCACTGCCTGTTTTATAGGGAGATCAACAACATTTTGGCGATCGGGGGGCCGGCGAGAAGCGGGGAGGACAAGTTCAGGCAGTGGAGGAGTGAGCTTGGGGGGAGAAATGGATTCATGCAAGTAGGGATGAGTGCCAATTCAATGGCTCAAGCTCAGTTGATATTGAACATGTTTCCTCCTACACATGGGTATAGCCTTGTGCAAGGAGATGGGACTATTAGGCTTGGGTGGAAGGATACTAGTTTGTATGTTGCTTCTGCATGGACTTGTTCTCATGCTTCAAGGTAGCTATGGCTAGGCTATATAGTTACAATAATTTTTTTTTTTTGGGTATGTTTTGGAAGTCTCGAGACCTTATGTAATTCAGAATTTCACCTCAAGAACTATGTGTTTTTTTCCCCTTCAAAAAGATTAAATTAGGTTTAGAGAATGAAAATAATTGAAAAGGTGAGTTGGAAACTGATCCACTTTTTTCATTATCTCAAGTTTTTATGTAAGAAATTAGGAATGAGTGAAAACCGTAACGACTTCTCTTAAAAATAAATTAGGGGATGGATCTTAAAAATTACATTCCGGTTCACTTTAACAAATTTTTGATTCACCGACAAAAATTTCAAGTTTGTGTAAACTTCTATTTATACGAAAACTTGGGATAATGAAAAAAAAAAAAAAAGGATCATGGTTTACAAGGAAGGAGCTTAATTTGTTAGTTTGCCGATAATATAAAGCAAGATTTTATTTAGTAAAAAACAATTGAGCTCCTTTCTTGTAAACCATGATATTATCCCAAGTTTCCATAGAAATAAAATGTATGCAATGAATCATAAACCACCTCTATAAAGAGCAGAGTGTAAGCCTTTTTCTTTCATCAAACACACCGAAAACAAAACAAAGAAAGGAAATCCATTCGAGAATTCGTCTAGGTCAAAATGTCATCTTAAAGAACTGTCCTTTGCATGTTCTCGTTGCTGGTGTTTACCAATCTTCTGTTCACAGAAGCCACCTTTGACCCGTTGGGGTAATTTTCTATTCTATAATGTTCCACATTTTTGCTTCTTTTTATTTATTTATTTATTTATTTGTATCTAGAAATCGTAATGTTCAAGTCTTTTGTTTGAATTCTTATTAGTTTATTAAAATATTTATTTATTTGGATGCAGGGTGCCCTGCCCCATGCAAGAAATACTGCCTCAGCACTGCAGTTCGAATTCCAGTGTGTGCAAGATGCTGTGAAGATGATGACCTTGTGATATAAAATCATGGCTGTGATAATTTTAAGGTTATAGCATATAATTGCGAATAGAATACCACAGCTGAGGTGAGCCCCAAAAATCAAAGTGCTCATCTTTGTCTTTGGTTTTTATTTTATTTTAATACAAGCGATATTGGGAGAGCTCATCTTTGTTTTGTTCTGAGCTTTGCCACCCATGTGACCAGGGAAAAAAAAAATTGTAATGCAAGCTCATAATGCCATTGCCAAAGAAGCATTTCGTTCAAAATTTTATATTCTATAACCATAGTTAATTTGACTTTACATAATATGACACCATGCTTCTCTGTTTTCTTCTCTCTCTGTGTTTTCTATATGGGACAAGCATGCAAGCCGATGCCCAATTAGGTACACATTGCTTCTCTGTTTTAAGAGAGAGAGAGAGAGAGAGAGAGAGAGAGAGAGAGAGAAACAAGTACAAAGAAAACATGACAGAAAAAAGGTGATGAGAAAATTGAAGGTCCCATGTTGTCACCAACTCACCAACACCTGGGTGCAAAACTTAAACAGTTGATATCCCAGGAAATTATCTATTGCTTCAGAGTCTGCAAGCCAACAAATCAGTTTCTAAATCAACACTAATGATATACCCAAGAAGATAATTACAAAAAGAAGAGAGCCTTTGAGAGAGAGAGAGAGAGAGAGAGAGAGAGACATAAACGTGATAAAAGGAGGAAGAAAATACCTTGAGGTACTTTTTGTGAATCCTCAATGCCTCATTACATGCCTTTTTAGCATCCAGATTTCCAGTTATGTCACCTAAGATCTGGAGACCAATATGAGATAAATGAAGACACAAATATCAGTAAACATGAATGTGCACCTGCACCTGCACATGAGAGAGAGAGAGAGAGAGAGAAAGACCTTGACAACATCATCTAGACCCGTAGCCTCCTTTAAAAGTTGCTTTTGCTTGGTCTCAAGAACACTTGCAACAAGAAAAATGGAAAGTGCACCATGTTTTTCTGTGTATCCTGTCTTCACAATGTTTCTCTCAAACTTGCCGTATTGCTTTAGTTCTTTGTCATTTACATTAGATGGTGTGGCGCCACCACTTGGCACTTCATATGATGAGAATATGTTTGGGTTGTATTCCATGGCCCACATCAGCTGAAACCAATCTATATTACTGTCTTAAAACAAGCTTATGAATGAAAAGCAAAGAAAGAAACTCCAAGACATTAATTACATTCAGATTCATGAGACCTAAAATTTGAATTCACATCAGAAATCGACAACATGAATGCAAACGAAATCTCATCCATCATCCATAAGGAAGTAGCTATTTATCAATAAAAGAGAACCCAGTTAGGGAAATGAGTACAGTTTTCCTCCTCACCTCCCAAAGATACAGTGAATCCACAAAGGAAAACTCTCTTCGGAACAGGACCATCAGCATGCGAAATGCAAATAAATACTCCCCACCATCTAGATCCTCTGACAATAAAAAGGAAATGGAGTTTTAGCTGAGTACTAAGGACCTGTGTTAGTGGACATGCATAAAGGAAATCTTACCGAGGTGCTGATGAAGTTTAGGATCAATAGTTTTGATTACTTGGGAGAGTGTGCTCAGCTGAGATTGCACTCCAATCGAACTAGCACTGCACCTAAAATTTTCTCTCTGTTTTCGAAACAAAAGCAGGAATCTGAATTATACCGTAACAGAAGCATATCACAAGCACCAAACATCTAACACATCATTTGAAATAAATAAATAAACAACAAATAATCAGCCTCAAGGTCCCCAAAAGACCATTAACAGCTTTCTTGTCATCCATATATTTCTATCAAAGCAGAATTAGAAACACCAGATGAACAAAACTAAATGAGTCTTTAATTAGTCGATGTACGAACCAAACCCAACTATTCTTCAGAACATGTTGAATGCATTAATTTGACTAAGGTTTAAGAGTTGATTTAACTATAGCAACTTGCCTACTTTTAACCTACTTTTAGTGCCTAAGATTGAATCATGTTGGCTAATCAGAGCCACTGACTAGAGCACTTCCGCTTATTATATTGTCAAGAAATCCACTTGCAGTGTTTTGTAAGGAATCAATTTCCAAGATACCTTCTAGGGCTGCCAATCATCCATCTAAACATCCTCACGTCCATTCTCAGTACATTTTTCTCAACTGCCCAAAGGGTGTACCATCACTTCAGGCCTTCCTGTTGTCCTTCTAAAGCCTTCTACTAATAATTCACTTCTCCATTTTGGTGTTCTGACATCCATTCTAGTCTACATGATGAATTTGAATAGTCAGGACTCAGTCTACATTTTCATCAAATTTGTGTTCATAGTACAAGGAAAAAAAATTATCAAAAGAATAAGAAAACCAAAATTGCTCATAATGGTACTAGAAGGCAATTACTAGATCCCAGTGTCATTATCTACTACCTGTTCGGAATCACTCATAACAAGTTCATGGAAAATTAAAAGTAGAGGCAGTCAACACTGGTCCATCCAAACATGCAATTCAATAATAGTATCATCAAGGGAAGAAATATTAATACCAGCCTTCGCATCGCACGTTCGAAACACCAAAAGGCATCTGCTTCATCGTCAATAAGAATTACTATAACTGTCACCTATACTATTCAACTTTGATAGAATATCACTGAGATTCAGTAACATTCACCTTGAACATAACCAATATCGTTGTCCACCCAAGCATAAACTGAAAGAATGTCCCAAAGTTTTGCCTGATGAGCTTGACTCTCATAAAAGACAAGTGATCGATCTGTGCGAACAACATCCAAACCTACAAGCCAAATCCCCCAGTTGAACTTGAGTTAACCACTGTTAAAAGTTAACACAAGTTAAAATAACCATAAGATACCAAAATAGATAAGATTCAGAATTTGAACTATAAAAAAATATATTTAAAAACTAAATTAAGTATTAACAAAAGGTAAAATAACCATTAGATATCCAAATATATATGCCTCAGAATATTAACCATTATGACAAAAGTTAAAAAGTTAAAGAGTATCATACATATCAATGTTGGACATTCATGCATGAATAATAAGTGTAAAACATGTCCCTCGAGAAAAGAAATACAGAAGTGTCAAGTTAAGTTAGCGTTCTGGTTTTCTTCCTTAATCAGTTCAAGGACATTTGTGGATCATTTTACTGAAAGCAACACCCAAAAGAGTGAAAACAACAGAAAACTGAGATTTTATCAAATGGTAAAGGGTAGGTTGGATCTTAGGTTCACAACTTATCCAAAGAATGTAGATTTGCAACACGTACAACAGATATATACCAATTTGATGCAAGAAAAGCTTCCACTGAATCACTTTCTTGTCTGAAGTAGCATGGTTTGCATCCCCTCCATAGTTACTTATATTGCCATTTGCTGATTCTTCTATTGGTTGGCCATCATCTGTGATGATTGGTGTTGTAAGAAATTTTCCACTGCCAATAACTGGAACCATCTTTTGGCATTCAGATTTCAATCTGCTGTACTGCTCCCTAAAATGGTCAATGTTATACATGAACTCACGATATTCAATCAAAATAAAGAATGCAGGATGGACAGCATGCCAATAGTTTTTTATTTAAAGGAAAAAAATCAACATAACGAGAATTGGAATATGGAAAACCACTTATACCCATATGGCAACTCAGATGAAGAATTTTATAAACTAAGGCTTGAACCTTAAAGGGCATATGGCTCACAAAACAAATGTTCAATGGGCTGGAGCATGATGGAAAAGACATAACATGTACGTAGGTGAGCATGAATAATGCAAAAACAATTGTCATAAAAAAGAATCTAAAACACCTGGATGGCATAAAGATTTAGAAATTTAATAGTTCAAAAAATATATTTGAAAAAGGCAAAGCATGAAACCAAGTACAGAGTAAGCAAAAGGGCCCCAATGATCCAAGGAAAACCAGCTTCTGAAATCAATAGCATCTATTGAACCACATAAATATGATCTAAAAGCCATGAGAGGCACAACCTAGAGACATCATCTTGAATAGAAATGGATTCTCTACCCCTTCAAAGGCTGCTCATCCCCGTTATATGCCATATCAAAAAATAAAGGCATTGCTCTCCAAACCTCACTTACCTGCATCCTTCTTAACTTCCAAACAACTACAGCAGAGTCTTAGGTATAACACTAAAAGAAAAACTAATATAACTGAAACCCCTTCTTGTAACTAATATAACCCTCTAAACATGATAGAGATAGCATATGAGGAGCGAAGTATACTCTGTTGCTTTTGATAGTGATTAAATTGAGAGACATATTCTACATATTAAATCAGAATTAAACAAAATGTTTTACCTCCGGCGCTGCCTGAGCTGATTCCGGTCATCAAATGTGCTATTTGGATCAAAGCAACCTAACAAGAATTCCCAGACTACACCTTTGATTGCAGGATGGACACCCTAGTATAATAAATGAAATAAGAAGATATATACTTAATATCATACACATACAATTTTAACTTTCAGTACACCAAAGGAGTAACATGTATGGTGTATCTAACACCACCAAGAATAAAAATAAATTTGATGTGTTTGTTAAGAAAAATTGTATCACGTATTTGTTATATCCTACGTCTACATGCCAACAGAGGCATAAAACAACACCCCAACCCCCCAACAAATCCCAAACAAAAAAATATAACACAGGAGAAGGTTACCCCTCGTTGGATTCGTCTTAGTACTTTGGCTATATCCAAGTGACCGTCTTCAGAGAAGGCAGCATGCCATCTTCTTGCACTAAGAGTTTTCCCAGCCTGCAAAATTTTAAAGTTTTAAACATGGATCATATACATCCATAGAAGTACAATAAGTAATCATACTGTGATAGAGCATTAGTGGTGCATAACCGAAACTTTGCAATGGAAAAACACTAGAATATTATGCTAGCAGCAATAATTAAAGTCTTATAGAATGTGGTGTTGAACTGAATTGTGTTATAAAACTAAACAATATATTAGCAAACAAAATAAAGTGAAAAGGGCACACCCTGAGCCTAAACTGGGTCTTCGGGACATCAACTTGGCATTCTGGTCTAAGTGGATAGAAAGCATCCAACTCAGCTGTCGAAGCTTTCCTCATAAAAAACAACGCCATTGTCTCTCACAACCAAGCATCCAAAAATCAATTCAATCACTTTCAGTTTTTCTTCGGTTGGGAACCAAAATTAAAATAAAGAGTCAGTACCACTTAAACATAAACAAACCAGAAACACTAAGAAGATCACATATAGTCGAATGATGACTTAAAGGGAAGCAACACAAACATATAGGATCCCAATACATTACCATCCAAATGGTACAAACAACCACCATTATACCCAAAATCCCAGATTTTCTCAACATTATGATTTATATCATCCCTATGAAAAATGCAAGTTTTTACATGTCAATATCTCAAAATCAAATTTTAAGATAAATCCAAAATCCCCTTTAACTTAATATTCGTTGTGATGAATCAAATGAAATATAATTTGAACATTAAGATTCCAAAGATTGCATTTTGAACCATCCGTCCTATAACAAAAGGCCTTGAATCAAGAGAAACCCAGATCACATATCTTGTTTTGTTTCTAAATATCACATGCATACAAAATCATTCAAACATGTAGATTTATGTACCTTCACTAACTGGAGTCTTAGAAATTCAAATTTGAATTGAAAATGCTTCAACCTCCTTGAGCTTTCTTCAAGATGATAAAGATCACACAAGAGATTAGAGAGAGAGAGAGAGAGAGAGAGATATATGGGAGCGAAGACGACGCGAAAATATTATAGAAAAGGACGTTGTGAATACATTTGCTTTAACGGTATTTTTTTATTTCACGAGCCCTTTTTTGGATTATAGTTAGCCCAAAGCGGCAACAGCTAGCCCCCCACCATTTTTCACTGAGCCTGACTCTGTCAAAACGAAAACCAGTGGGGCACTTATTCAAATAAAGTATAAATAAAGGTCCTAGTTGTAAAAATTAGAATATGTCAGGGCGCAAGAAAATAGAACTTTTCTTACACACTCTAGCCAATAGAATTACGACCTAAGAAATTCTACGATAAACTCGACCGCAGGTGATTGGGCTCAGCTCGAACAAAACCCTATTTCTTCACATCTCAAACCCTAGCTCGGCCTCTTTCCTCACTCATCTTCTCCGACTCCTCTGCCCGACTTTTTTCAGAGGATCTGAAAAATGCCGTTCAAGAGATACGTTGAGATCGGACGAGTGGCCCTCGTCAACTATGGGAAAGACTACGGCAGGCTCGTCGTGATCGTCGATGTCCTCGACCAAAACAGGGTATGTTGTTGCGTTTATTTACGCAAATGCCTTTCTTCTCAATCCATTTAGGTTCAAAGTTTTCTACTTTACCATTTGAACTTGTGATTAAAATAAAGGGTATGCGTTTGCTGTTCGTTCAATGCTTGTTTACTTTGAAATAGATGGGTTGTGGAATATTTACAAGCAGCACAACATAGCACACATGCATTTACCATTGAATACTTACAAAGTGTAATGCTTTTTCACAAAATAAAATAAGTTCGAAAAATCGGCCTAGGCGGCGCCTAGGCGCTAGGCGGGAGGACACCACCGCGATTTCACCTTAATCGTTAAGGGTAAGCGCCAGGGAGTTAGGCGGCGCCTGGGCGGTTCTGGGGTCTGGGCGGGTCGGTTAAGCGTGTGTCATTTGATACTGAATATTTACGTTTGTTTTTCTGGATTAAGCGTGTGTCGTTTGATACTGAATATTTAAGTTTGATGTAAGAACTTAGCAGACCTGCATTTTATTTTGCAGGCTCTTGTTGATGCCCCTGACATGGTGAGGACCCAATTGAATTTCAAGAGGCTTACACTCACTGATATTACCATTGACATCAAAAGGGTTCCTAAGAAGAAGACTCTGATTGCTGCCATGGAGGCTGCTGGTGAGCTTTGAGTGATTATGGAAAGATAAGGATTTAAGTCGTCTACTTTTTTATTTCTTTGCTTGTTCCCAACTGAGTTGAGTTTTCATATTGTGGTTGGCAGACGTAAAGAACAAATGGGAAAACAGCTCGTGGGGCAGGAAGCTGATAGTGCAGAAGAGAAGAGCTGCACTAAATGATTTTGATAGGTTTAAGCTCATGTTGGCAAAGATCAAGGTGTGTTTTTGATCTCTCAAACTTGTATTATCCTGAAAAACTGAGATTCCTCGTATTTTTTATTTGTAGTTTGTATGTTAATAAGCATTTTATTCGTTGGGTGAGAGGTTGATCAAACCTTTGAGGGTTAGGTTTTCATCCTTTTCCCCTTCCTTTTCTCCACCCAAGGCCCCCCTATGCTCTTTTTGGGTGGAGGAGCTAAATTCATGAATGTTAGACTCTGCCAATTAGGTATCTCTTGCTTTTTAGATCCTTTTAATTTCTACCATCAGCTAAAATTGTTTCTTCAATTTTAATTGCATGGTAGTTGTCAAACGGCTTCTAGAATTATAACTTGGTCTTTCGCACTTAGTTATTTCTTAATGCGTGGATGAAGATTGCATCCTAGCTCATGCATACAAAGAGCATGAATCGTTAACACAAAGTAGATAATTAAACTTTTAAAAATTTGATCTGTTAACCTTGTTTTTTTGGTCTCAGTGTTGACTTTGTGAGCTGGTATAACTAATTAATAATTATGCTTTGTTTTTGTGTTTGTGCAGAGGGCGGGAATCATCAGGCAGGAGCTAACGAAACTCAAAAAGGAGAGTGCAGCCTGAGTCTTGAATCTGTACTCTTTTAGATTTTGCAGCCTTGTTGCAATATTTTTGAGTTGTCTCTTTATGTTTTGATTCGTTGTGGTGGCAGTAACTTGATATTTTGGTTAGGTCATAGTTATTACGAGTGGGAACCAGCCACAAGTGATTATCTCTATAAACCTTGTATGGATTTTCTTTGAAATGAAATGGAGCCAAGGAACTTTCCTTCTCAATTTTATCTTATCATGCTGAATAATATATTTTTGGGCAATTTGATAGCCTTCATATTCCACGTCTTCGTTTTTTGCTCTGATTTGTAGACAGAGAATCCAACTCCTCTTGTGTAAAGCCTTTTGGGGAGGTGCCAGGGAGTGATGGTAATGTTGTGGAACTTGTTAAAGGTGCTGTTATGCCACATTGCTGAGAGAAATTGTCTTTAAAATAAGTTAGAACTGTCAAATTCCGCAGATTTTAAGCGGGACTAAGTTGAAAGCACTTTTAAAAGCATTTGGCAAAAGAATTTAAATGCACTTTTATGCGAAATCACTGTAAAAGTGTATTTTTGGAGGAGTACTTTTTCAAGAAGTTTTTTGATAAAATTTACAATGGGCTACTAATAAAAGCATTTCTAAAAAAAATTGCTTACGAGCAAGAGTGCGTTATATAAAACCTAGAAAGTCCGTAAATCAAATAATCTCCCCCAATGTTCGACTCGTAAGTCGTGGCCAATCAGAACAAGAATTTTTATTTTTATTTTTTTGAAGAAAAAAACAACTGAACTTATAAGCGGGTTACCAAGGCTTTGTCCAATTGAACAGAGCATGGTAAAGACAACGAAGCCTCAAACTCCTGCACATTTTCCTTTTCTTCATTCTTTCAATTAAAAAAATCCAATAAAATAAGCTATGGACAAGGTATAAAGCTAGAGAAAGCAACGAGAATAAAATGGTTTGGGGGGCTGTTGGACCAAAATAGAACATCTGAGCAAAATTACAAGGCACTTGAAGTTTACAAGGACATACTTGCCAGCCACCTTGCCTTGACCTACAAAGAGGCACCAGAAGAAAAGCAACCAGATGGTGAGCTGCTTTTGGAAACAATCTCACTCCTTCGATAACAGCATGGACTACTGTTACCTCGTCAATGATTAATTGCACTCTCTCCCGTTGCAAACGAGCTATTCACTGTGGAATTCCAGTTTGTACCTCCTTGAATTTCATGAAAGGGCAAGCTCATTGCCTATCAAACAAAATGAGTGCCAAGGTTGGTTGAATACGGTTGATGAAGGTTACATGACCAAGCTTGAGATTTAATGTTGAACAGGACTACTGCCGCTGATGTGTGCCATGGAGCATTTTGACATAACAAATTATTCTTCATTGAAATGAGCAACTTTGACGAGGCATCTGAAGCTATCTCATGGGCAACTGCATAAACACAAAAACATCAAAGAACTCAGTTAACTAACACACATGATTTTGCTGCTGTGTACAACCTAAACCTAAGAAATACTAACTTCTACAAGGATCATTCATCATCTCTAAGAAAAGAGATGCATAGATTCTACACACCCTTACTACATGTTTGAATTTAGCAAGTCGCTATGGTACATTCACATTAGGCTCTAAGATCTAAGAGACAAGCAAGTGCTGATTAAAAAATAATATATAGCTAACAATTTTTCTTTCTCAATTTTCCTCTCTTCATCTCTACAATTGAAATGAATAATTCAAGCATCTGAATTCACTACAGAATTAGAACAATTTACCAAATTAAGGGGTTGTTTAAGCCTCCCAATGAAATTGCAAGCAATGAGGTCCATCTATTGGATCCTCTGCTCGAGAATTAGGGTAATGACTCCAATTGAGATGCTGGAGAAACTTGTTTAGGCTCAGGAACAAAATATTTTCTGTTATATCACCTAAAAATCTCAATGTAAAAGCTCACCTTCTTGAACTTAAAAAGGAGCCTCGAGTGATTCATCCCATACTTCTACACTTCCATTAGAGGCATTCTCACCATCTTCTTCCATTGACAGCCTTATATATTCTCTGTGTGCAAAGCGGTCCCACTCTGTCAAAGTTGGATCCTCGCGTTCCTGTTCAATCCAAAATGCCAGTGCACCATTATTGTTCCAGAAAATTAAAACAGTACTTTATTTTATTTTAACTTTCTAATGTGTAGTCATTAGTCACTCAATGGTTTAAAACACCAATTATTGCAAAAATACCTGGCGAATAAGAAATGGATCACGACTTTCAAAAGCTATAAACTTATTAAGGTTGAAAAGGATATTGAAGACATTTCCTGAAAGTTTGCACCCTTTCAAGTCAGCTAGTGTGAGATAATCTTCCCTCTGCAAGTAAGATTTCAAAAAGTAGTCCTCTCTAGTGAGTAACTGAAAGCAAGATCTGGCATTCAGTAACATAATAACAATATCAATGATGATGATGATGATGATGATGATATTTGACCTCTGGTGCAATCATGTCAACTATTTGGCACAAAATATCCTCAAATAGAACAGGTTCTTGGGCCATGCATTCCATACGATGCAGCTGCTCCTCATAAAAGAACTGCAACTCATTGGGTGTAAGGACTCCATTTCCATCCAAATCTATACATTTGAACCTACAAAATAAGATTGGACTGAATAAAAGTGGAAAAAAGCAGACATAGTAAAAGACCAATTACTGGGAGCATAGCATCAGAAAACCAGGTTCGTGAATCAAGGCTTGTCATCACAGCAATGTTTATGGTATATGTATGACTTATCTATGAGACTTTACGCATGCTAAAATCTCATATTTAAAGAATACTAGCACCCCAACACGCACTTCAGGCATATAAGACTGTTCCTTACATACTGAGTTTTAATTATAAGATTTTTTTTAACGGAAGGTGAGAAAGTTATTTATAATATTTGAATTCAAATGCCTCTGATAATTTCCACGGAAAGTGGGAATTCAATTTAAAACTCATGAGAAGTTCACAGGAAAAGGGAAGTTAGTTTTCCATTTTACAATTTTAATCTGTAAAATACTGATAATTTATTTTAAACATATTGCAAAAGATTACATTTCAGGGATTTAGAATATTACACCAACTTCCAAGATTTGGATTAACGTATTAAAACATGGATTCACTCTTTTCTTTGTTAGATACCTACTATTTTCACTTAAAAACAGGAACCTTGACTCTGCTTCTAAAATATCAAGACTTCCACGCCATATGAAATTACCAAATGGAAAAAGAACAAAGAAGCAAGAAACATATACCAATACTCAAGGCTAGGCTCACACGACTTATCCTCCTCTGACAGCATGAAGTAAACAAAATCTTCATAACCCATCTTCCCTTCAACCTTGCTAGTAAACTTTCTCGGAATCTGGAATGGAATTGAGCAAATACACAATCAACATGGAAACCTCATTTAGGTAAACAATTTGTTCCAGAAGTTTGTGGGGAAAGCTATAGTATATATACACCAACCTGCGAAAATACTCTATCAACAATCCTGTAGGTAAGGGCATGGTTACCATATCTAATGAGGTTCTCTTTGTCAATCAAGAAATCATGGTCCGTGTCCAGCTCCCAAAATTTGCAGTATATAACATAAAAATGTTCATAAGAGAAGTACCTGAAATTTGACAGAAAAAATAAAAACATGGTTTAGTATTTTTGTTATCACAATTTAGTACCTGAAATCTAATATATAAAAATTTGTTGTACTTAAGTTCCTCCAAAATATCTTTCAGCCACAATTAACTTCTTCCAGGTAAAAAAGGGTCAAACTATTAAGAGACATTCTCCAATAAGTATTTGAGTTAAGAATTGGTTACATACTTCTAATCTCAACCTTTGGATTGCATCTAAGAGACTACCAACACATTCAATGAATGCAATCCAACAGCCAAGATTAAAAGTATGTAACCAATCCTTAACATAAAATACTTATTGGAGAATCTCCCAACTATTAAAACACTACAAATCCAAAATAAAAACTTTCAAAAATACTCATTACACCACCACCCCCAGGGTGGCAAAAGCACACAGCTCACAGGTCATATATATCAACTGTAATTTGTACTTGAAATTTCATGTTGATAAACAAACCTCAGAACTTTGTTAATGTCCTCTTCCTCATCTGCATGTTGCATGGCAGCAATTAGATTTCCTCGTTTCAGCTCCCTGAGGGTAAGGCGACCGTTTCCTGATCTATTTATGTAGTAAAATATTCTGTATATTACAGTTTCAGCTGGGGTATTGAAAATGAAGCTTATGTAAGAAAATATTAGTATGGGAAAACAAAAAGTAATCTTAAATAGAAAAAAGTGAACCTAATGTAACAATACATGCTTTTTTATGGCAGTTTAAAGTACCTCCAATCAAACCTATATTACATCTATAATTTGCAATATTTGTTTGAAGCAATAAAAACTACTGATGTCAACCAGATTGTTTGCAACAGATTCTGATAAAACTCTTTTATTTATTTTCAAATTTTGATCTTAACAAATAATTATACCTGAAAAGGACAAGAGATCTTAACCGGATATAACTATGCATTCAAAAACAGTCTCTATTCTATAATCAACAGAACCATGCAACCAGTTCTGATAAGTGAATTATAAACCTTACTCAGGCATGGAATACATAAAAACAATCAATCATTATTGCACTTACGTAGAAGTACGAAATACATACCATATCTTTCTTGAAATTCAGGAGTTCCATGTAAAAATTCTAACCCTGGATGGGTTGCCACAAGCTCTAGAAGAATGGGTTTGAAGTCTACCTGCATTGACAATACAAACAAATAATTGTAAAAGATACAAATTACACTGCAAAACCAAAAGGTCCGAAATCAAAGGAACGTAACTGACATAAATGGTCATTTAACAGCGCAGAAAACCAAAGTTCCATGTTCCTATACCAAATAGATAATAGTTTTAAATCATACCTGAGTAAGGTAATTGCTATCAGACTGCTTTAGAATTTTAAATATTTGAGTTGCTGTATCCATTGTCAGCATATTGCCATCGACCCAATATCTGACGAATGCATCCCTACAAACAAATTATGCAAATCAGCAAATAATTATATATATATATATATATATATAACAAGAAGAAAAAAAGTAAAACATAGAAACAATATAGGGGACTTGTATAGTCGTGGTTCTATAAGTAAGAGAAGCCTGTCTATTAACGAATAAAAAAATTAAAACAAAAGGTAGAAGGATTGCAAATAATATTTAAACTGGGAATATGTAGGATCAAGCTGGGATCAAATAAAAATTACAATTGTTTATAATCAAATATAAACAATAGGAAGTGAGCTACAAATATCAGGACTTCATGTTTCTATATTCTTGTCTCCTAGGAGGCTCTATACTTACACCCTTTTCTTTATTCATATCTTCAGGGAGAGACACAGAGACACAGAAAGCAAGCTGCAGGACATAATCGCCCAACAACAAACACATGAGGAGAAGCATTCCATAGATCTTTCTTCCAGAGTACAAAATGAGGTCCCATCAACACTAGGTCTAATTGTTTCTAGTAAGCTTAATTACATTTTCTGCATACCTGGTCACTATCCCGCTGCAGCTAGTATCTATCTTTTTAAAGATAGCAGAGGAGAAAAATGTTGGTAGCTTGCATAACTCCTTCGTAACCAACTTAAACTCTGCATAACCATGAAAATAACATCAACTCCTTGCTTTCAATGGTTTCAGTTTCACGAATCTCTAAGAAGTGGATTCACTAGGGGGCAGAGAAAATCATTAATTCTAAAAGGTGAATTTATATATCAGATACACATCTCACCGTGAAGTTGCAATCCATCCATATGACCACCAAAAAGGTCATTAATTCTAGAAAGACAATGCTCCTGAAGTTCCTTTGGTGGTGGACGGCCATTTTGAAAATAGAACTGCAAGCATATTAAATCATAAAACATTATGAGCATTAATTCTTCAATCTTGACATCATAAAAAGACCCCAGCATTCAAGTTCACAACTAAATTTCAACCTCACAATATTTACAAAAATATAATAATAATAATAATAATAATAATAATAATAATAATGAAATTAGAACTGAGTTCAACCTGAGGAATGGCTTCTCGAACTGGTTCACTAACCACTTTTAGCGGAGATCGCAGAGAAGAAGGACTAGTTTTCAGCTTTGAAAAGCGAGGAGAACCAGAGGAACTTCTCGGTGAAAGTGGGGGTGTACTTCCAGCCTGAAACATGGAAGGTAATGAATTGCTCCCGGCAGCATTTGCACTTGAAGAGTTCCCAAGGGCATTGATGGGAATGCCTGCGGTTGCATCGTCAATTAGAGATTTCACCTGTCAAATCAAACCGCAAAACACCATCAGATAACATCAACTATTATTACGTCTACCATAATCATACATAAAAAAATAGAGAAAAATACAAACCCTGTACTTTAGTGGCAAAAACTATTATTTGTAAAAAGGAAAGTAATGACATCCCTGAGGTAATTACCAACAGCGAAGTACTAAGCTAACAATGGAAACCCTGTACTTATCCAAACAAGAACAACAAGCTATAGCTTTGAGGACAGAAATGCACATTGATAACAAAAATTGTACATAAAAACAAAAGGTAAGCAATTTACCAATCGACCGGTTTGAGGAAGCGAAAGCCACTGTGCGTACAAATCCTCGGCAATTTGGGGACTAGCTTTAAGCGCAAACGGAGACAATTCCGGGAGCTGTAAAAGCTCAGGATCGAAAGAACCAACATCCCCTACAACCGCGTCTATATCCATTGAGAATTCAACTCTTCAATTCCTAAAATCATCACAATCGGTGACTCTTCAACACTTATCACAATCCTAACCCAGTCGCTTTCTCTGGGGCTCAATTCTCAACACAAAAATTCAAAAACCCTAGGTCGAAAACGAAAAGTCTGAAACAAGAACGGAGCTTTGCTTTGAATTAAAACGAAAAACCCTAGGTTCCCCTACAGAATAAGATTCTAAAACCAGTTACCAGTTCTTTTCTCCGATGCTCCGTGCGAGCGAGCACTTTCTTCAATTCTGATGCTCGCCACGAATGGTCTGCTGCCGCAAGACTCAGAACCCGCCAAGAAACCTTGTGGTTTCAAGCGGACATTTGCGTCCCGGAAATCGGAGAACCGCGCCCTGAGAGTTCGTGTCTGAAGTGAAGACTTGGGAAGACTGAGAGGGTCCTTTTTGGGCAGAGAGAGAGAGAGGAGAGAGAAAGAGAGATTGTAAGAAGAAGTGAAGAATAAAAATTTGAAGGCTAAAATAGAGGGGCGGCGACCGTGAGGATGAGCGCCACGTGGGCCTTTATATAACGGAAACTGCCGCCCGGACCCGGAGACTTGCTCGTCAAGGTCTGACTATTAATCTGTTGTGTGAATTGAATGAGTGGGCATGGTGAGCCCAAACCTCTCTTCCATCAACTCAAAGAAAGACAAATTTATTTGTTTATGGATTCAATTTTTTGAGTGGTTAAACACATAAATTACATTTTATTAGCGTATCCTAATGAAAATGCTAATACAGTAGAAAATATGACAGAGAAAAAACGAGCATAAAGAAAACGAGAAGGAGGGTATAGGAGGATTGTGACACGACAAACATGAGCATAGTCACGATTTGAGGTTTGCAGGGAGCCATAAGCTGAATTTTGATCATTTTTCCTTAGTATCTTTCATATGATACACATAATACTACATGGAGGAAAACAAAAATGGAGGGTCTATGCCTCACTCCACCCAGACGATAGGAATAGGGCAGTCAATCTCTTTGAAAAATACGACGTCATATCTTAAAGAATAATATAACTAGATTCTCGTATCCATATGAAAGAATCATATTTTCCATGAAGGCAAATTGTTGCATGTTAGACACGTGGACGACAAATACAAATTGTATCTAAGTATAACATGTATTTCTATGAACATCGTGAAATTCGTGATTGAAGAAGTTAATAGTGGAGTTATGATCTTTCCAACTATACTTGAGATTTTCTATATTACGCATTGGATAGGGATAGATAATCATAATTTGTATTCATTGTATCATGATTGCAATGGCGGTTTAGTAAGTAATTGATATCTCTTGTGCATATATAGAATGATAGGTACAATAGGAAAAACCTAATTACAACGGTTACTATCCTCCAATAGAATTGGATTCGTGAAAATTTTAGAATGACATTATTTTTTCCAAATATACAAAAAGAGTTAGCTACTAACGAAAAGAGAGAGAAAAGGGAGACGTCTTCTTGAAACTCTTTGCAACAAATTTCTTTCAAATATATGATCAAATCTTTGTTACGAGTCCACTAGCTAAAATGATTAGTAAAGTTAAAGTCTATTTTCCAATCATTATCATTTGTCATAATAAGTGCCCATTTGAATCATTGACGGTTTTGTAAAATTCAAAAAGATCCCAATATTTTTGGAAGAAAAACAATCCCAATATTAAAAAAAAGAAAAGTCCCCAATCCAAATCCAGGGATATGATTGAAATTTCACAAATCATGAAGGGTCTGCTTGGATATTTACCGCCAAGTCCCTACCTATATAAATAAATAGGAAAGGACAGCGAAAATCTCCACCTTGGTTTGGTCCTCTCTGTCTCTCTCCCTCAAAGCTTCACAGCTTGAAGAAGATATCTCCGCGAGTCTCCGTGTGCTTTGCTTTCGTTGCGACCAATCTAACTGGTACCATGAACATCTTCAGTAAGAAACCCACCGCCAAAGGTTCGAGCTTTCTTAATCTTCCGCTCATTTTTTTTTTCTTTTCCCTGTGTACGATTAAACTTAAATTCAAGCGTTCTTATTTGCATACTAGATCTGAATTATGGGTATAATTTATATTTTCGTAATTTTTTTATATGGGTTTGCATTTTTATCGCAGAGGCTCTTCGGGAGAGCAAGAGAGAAATGGCTAATGCTACTAGAGGTAATATAAATTATATGTTTTTTGGTTTTCATTTCTCAATGTTTGTGATTATAATGATCATTTTCATCATTCATTTTGTGGTAACTGATTTATGACCCTCTTGGACTAATTGAGGCATTGGGCAGTAGTTTTGATATTGCACTGCTTTAATAGACATTATAGGCTGGATTAGATTTGTGATTAGATGGGTTACTGTTCAAGCTTAAATTATATCTTATTTTGTCCAGCTGACCTGTAATTTTACACCTGCTGTGTATATCTCATTATGCTATGAATGGGGCATTTCCTTGATTTTAATTTTGCTCATTTGATATATTTATTTTCTTCCCCATTTTGCTTCAGGAATAGAGAAGGAAATTGGAGCATTGCAATTAGAAGTATGTCAAGAGATTCCTGTTGGTGATCCCTTTTTGTTCTTGCATTTTTATCTACAGTTTCATTTAATATATTTTACTATCATGTCAGGAAAAAAAGCTTGTTGCTGAGATAAAGAGAACGGCAAAAACAGGAAATGAGGTATTTTCTGTGTTGTATTTGACTGTTTTCATCAGTCCAGGAATACTTGAGTGACTCTGGCAATTGAATCTTATCAGAAGTAGTCAATTTATATTCTCTCAGGCCTTTGTTTTGCATTCTGCAGGCTGCAACTAAAATACTAGCCAGGCAACTAGTCAGGCTTAGGCAACAGATAGCTAACTTACAAGGAAGTCGAGCTCAAATGAGAGGAATAGCAACTCATACGCAGGTGGACTGTGAAATCGTCATATTCTGATTCAACTTTATACGTTGCATTTGTGAGTTGTGCTCTTAGTAAATTCTATTCCATCATGCAGGCAATGCATGCTCAGTCATCAGTTGCTGTTGGCATGAAAGGTGCTAGTAAGGCGATGGCAGCTATGAATAAGGTTTGATTGTAACAATGAAACAAATATTTTATGTAGTTTTCATATTGTAAATTAGACATTAAGATTGCATCTGATGATGAGATTTAGTTTAAGAGAACCCCTGCCTAGTGTTGTGTTTAGTTTGAAATGTAAATAAAATCCTAGAGAATTGTTCTTTATTATATTGCTTCCTATTTTTATCGCTAGTAATTCAAGCTCTTTTTAGTAACTGAATTTGTGCGACATTGCAGCAAATGGCTCCTGCAAAGCAGGCACAGGTGATACGCGAATTTCAGAAGCAATCTGCACAGATGGATATGACTGTAAGATTGGTTCTATCTTTGAATTATTGGCATAGAATTATGTTCATCTCGGCTTTTGGTTGCATAAGTGGATCATAATTTAGAGCTTTGAACATGCAGACTGAAATGATGTCCGACGCAATAGATGATGCCTTGGATGATGATGAGGCAGAAGAGGAAACTGACGAGCTGACAAACCAGGTAAGTCCTAATTGCATTGTATACTAATTTTTCATTTAGATGAATATATTCATAGACGATACCCAAGAACAGGAAAAGAAAGCATGCTATTCCTCCGAGATTAGATTAATTCCTATTGTTACCAGGATGTTCTGTATACCTTTCTGAACAAATTGTTAGTTGAAGTTTGATTGCCATCTTGTGATTATTTGGTTTATCTGGTAATGAGACAAGATTGAGAAGGGGTTGTGTTAAATGATGTGGAAAGTGTTCATATGAGACTGAGAAGCAGTCTCATTCTTTATAGATGTCATTAACTATTGGTCTTGGTACCAGGAATTGACAGATTTTTTTTTGGTTAAATTTTTTTGAACAGGTGCTGGATGAAATTGGCGTTGATGTCGCCTCACAGGTTGGAATCACTGATTATGCCTTTTTGATTTTTTGTTATCATGTACTGTACCATTCCCAGTCGTTTAAACTGATGTGCTTTGTACATGATCTATTGACAGCTGTCAGCAGCTCCCAAAGGAAGAATTGCAGCGAAGAACACTGAGGGTGTTGGCAGGTACAACATGCAATCCTTTGTTATTGTAATAAGTTAACCGCCTGAAGATTTTTACAGTACAACTTAAAAGTTAGTCTTTCTACAAAGTAATTGATGGTTTGGCATACTTTGCGTTTAAGTATCTCATGACCACATATACGCTGGCAGAACAAGAAATTTCTTGTGGAAAGAGCACCTCAAACAAATTAATGTGCCATTTGTAATATGCATTTATCATTGCAGTGGATCTTTTAAACTTCTAATGCTTTTCTTTTTTCCCCGCTTCTTTTCTGTTTTTAATTTGGTTATGTGCTATAACTAACAAACTTTCAACTTCTTACAGTTCTGGCACTGATGAACTTGAGAAAAGATTGGCAGCTCTTCGAAATCCATGAGTCAGAGATCAGAAAGCTTTTTTTTTTCTCCCCAGAGTTTGATATTAAATTCTTGCTAGGTTGCACATTGTAAATATTTTGTTGCTTATCGCAATTATCCATTTCAGCGCCACTACATACAATGAAGCTAATACACTTGGGATTTTTACTGATGTCGATAGATTTGAATTGCTCCTCCTTGTATCGTAAAATGAAGAGCTAATACACTTGGGATATTTACTATCAAAGTTTATTTGAGTGGACTACTAGACTAGTCAGTTCTTGTATTGTATCTAGCGAATGTAACTTAATTTTTTTTCTTTTCAAAGCATTTTTTTTCCGGTTAAGTTTCAAAGCATCTTATTTCTTAACCAATTGGAAAAGACGTTCATTTGAAAATCACAGTTGTCTAGAATTTAGCTTAGCTAATTACTTAACAATTAGAATCGCTAAATTGTCCCTGCAATGAGCTCGCATCCGTGCATTTAATTTTAATTTGCCATTTAACAAGACAAAGTTGAAAAGTTTGTGGATGGATTTTAGAAGACTGCAAGGGTTTGAAAATTTCCAACGGGCCATGCTCAAGCTAGCGCTAGTGAGGAAGTTCTTGAAAAGATGACCATTACAAACAACACAAACTGGTCTCAATTCAAAGTGGGCGTATAATAAAGAAATAGTAATTATTACAGCTAAGAAAAATGTATGTTTCTAATACAGTTACAATGGCCGGAAAGGAAACTCTTGGGAGAGAAAAAAGTGGGAGGAAGAAAAGCCTGGAAATGCTGTCATTAGACATGCAATAAGATCGGAAAACGCAGTGCTTAGGTGATATCCCATGTACAAAGCAAGCGAGTTTTTGTCTTGGTTTTTTGTTTTTCTTTTTTCAGTACTCATCAAATAGTACGAGGATTTATCCATTAGATGACTGGCAAATATCTATAGTGAAATACTCTCCATTACTTCCTGATTGAAAGGAGCTCAAAGCTCCGGAGAGGATCATCACGTGTGCCTCTTGCTGCTGCAGAGCGCTTGGGTTCATACCCCAAATTACCTCTCTGTGTGGTAGAAGGGCGGCTACTGCTTGAGACTAATCGGCTTGTGCGGCCATCACTGTGACTTTGATCACCAGCTGAGGAACTTGGCTTACTGTTTATAATAGCTTTTCTTGAAGTGCTGCCATATCGAGAGGAACTCCGTCCCCTTTCAGAATCATGGTGCTGAAAATACAGCAATAGCATTCCATAAGGATTTTTTCTATAAACAATTGAGAAACAATTGCACCACTTCAACTTGAATACGAGGATAAGTAAGGAGATGGCTTCAAAAAACAAAGTACTAACGTTAAAAGTTTGCAACTCTTCCATTCTTTGACTTTACCCTTAATTTCCAATGCTAGTCTTGTTTTCCCTAAGGAAATTGAGTTGAGACCCCTACTGCAATTGCTTAGACTTAATAACTTGGCCAGGATTCAATTTTGCTTTCATTGAAATTTTATAACAAAGAAAGGAGGTAACTATAAGACCATAGAAAATTGGTCAAAAGAAGTGCACTGATTATAATTATCAAAACAAAGAATAGCAACTTTTAAGTTTAGACTTGAAATTAGTAAAATTTCCAATTGGGTGCTTGAAATTCTTTTACTTGGTGACTTCTCTACACCCAATTTCAGAGAGAGAACAAATCCACAAGATTAACTTCATGTAGAACAAGCACTCACAAACTGTCCGGGCCCAAAGAAACAAGAAAATAATTAACAATACAAAATATTTTGTCAGATATCAAAACTTTACCACATCTTTGGATGAAGGTGCATCCTCAAAAGACCTGTGTTTCAAATGATCCTGACGTGGACTAGACCCTGAAGTATTTCTCCTCGAAAATGCTTCAACTGCACCTGAGAATCTATCTTTGTGGGAAACCAAAAGGGAAAATGCTGAGAGTAAAATTGTAGTTTAAAGTTAAATAATGAGCTGAAGAAAGGAAGACATACTAAAAAAATTTAAAGAGGACCAAGTTCTCAGATACTAAATAAATCTTCAAAAATAAGGGAGTAACTGGCTCCTAGCCCAAAACTTATTTATGAAATCAGCAAGGGTCAATAATCCTTATCGGCATTTAATTCAAATATATTTTTTCAAGAGAGAGAAACACCTGAGACTCTTTCTGTTCTTTCCATAGATGGCCCGGCGCTTAAACCTGCTTTTCCATTGGCATGCTAAAAACACAGAAATGAACTAAATAAGTAATGTTCTTATGAGGTCAAAATTTGAACATAAAATTTCTAAACACTAACCCATCCTCTAGAGCTGCCACCAATCTGAGGGTACTTCAATACAGTCCAGTCAAATACATAGTCAAATTGATAACCTGCAAGTAATCATAATATTAGCATCCCAACCCCAAAGTGGGGAAAAAGGTAAAACACTCAGCAAGCTTGACTTCTAACAAAAGAATTAGGAATCTATAAGAAGATAACCAAATTTGTGGCCGTTACCTTCTCGAATAAATAAGTCTCGGAAAAGCCTCTTCAAATAAGAATAATCTGGCTTGTCTTCAAACCGCAATGATCGGCAATAATGAAAGTAGGATACAAACTCAGATGGATGTGATCTGCACAGCACCTGTTAAACATATCTGTGGCTATATTACCCATGTTGCAACTAACAAGAATTCCCAGCACAGAATGAAGATCATTAATAGCAGCATGGTGAGTATGTGTGTGCGTGCGTGCATGAATACATATGAACAAACATGACGACATGAGCTATCAGGCTAGGCTTGGTTCAAACAACCTCTATAACGTGTTCATGTCCAAACGCAAATATTCAGCCAGCCAAGCAGCCGATCAAAATCAGCGAAAGTGGGTCATACTAGCTGAGACTTATTTTTGTTCATCTTACAAGCAATGGCAAAAGGGGAGGGACTGGGTTTGCCATCCCTAGCAATCTACATCTGCCCAATTCACATCTCAGTCCAGTCCCGCCCCAATACCAACACACACACACACACACACACACACGTATATATAGAGTTATCTTCTACAATGATGAACACCACAGTAAAAACATAATACAACACACATCAGGTTCATTTATGCGGTACATATGCAGTTGCTAGTAGTAAGCTTGCATGCAGGAAGTTGTTACCTCTATAGGAGTTGACATTTTTTTTTCACTGATTTTATCGTACTTTTGCTTTTTTGTGCCAGCTTTTAAACCCTGCCAGGGAAGGCTGATTGGAGGATAAGAAAAAAGAAAATATGAAAAAGGAAAGGTGTCAAAAATAGAATAAAATACAATGTTGCATACCCAACATCAGGTAGCAAATGCCCAAAAAATATGAAGAACACAACTACAAGGACTTTATTTTAACCTTCCTCTTAGGAAATACATTAGAACATAACCAAGAGATTCCAGATCATCTCTTCTGCTTTGCTCTGTACGTGCAATAAAACACAATGAGAATTAGAAATGGAGCATAGTAAGTTGGATCCGTTATTATACATTTACTATTAAAAGTTAGATACCAACAGATAACAACATATAATATCTCTCACCAATTCCAAGGTGAGTGTTAACACTTGCATAGCGAGCAGTGCCTGTGAGGTTCTTGTTCTCCCTAACAAATGGAAAAAAAAGGTAATGAACTTTCACAACAACCAAATAAAAACCAAGGCTGGCACAAAGGAATCAAACTTACAAGACTTGAAAGAAAAAAAGAAAAAAAAAAGTGAAATCCAAGAAATTGGAGTAGGGGCGAAGAGATACTTAGATAATACATAATGCATGACACTAATATATACAAATTATGTATATGTATAAATGAAGAGAGAGAGAGAGAGAGAGAGAGCACCACCAAGCAGGAAGTAGATCAATAATGTGCTTATAGAGATGATGGTCAACAATGATTTTCTATTAACTATAGGTAAATAGAAAAACAATGGTGACAAGGTAGAATATGTATTAGAACTGTAAAAAGCTTCTTTACTTTTTTTATAATGAAAAATATATACTTTTGTTTAAAGAAATAGTTCATGCTCATAAAATTTATATACTTTCTTTACAACTAGGTCAAAAGGTTAAAGTTTCCAGTGCTTTCTTCTTCAAACAAGACAAATGATAAGCCGATGCTTTCTTCTTAAAATAAGACAAAACATAAGCCAATGGTTTCTTCTTCAAACAAGACAAATCATAAGCAATTCCTAGAATCCAAATCCCTCCCCCTCCCCCCTTCTTTTCCCCAGTTGAGGCAATACCTAGGCAATAAAAAGTATATCCGTAAGTAGATTCTTGAACCACAAGACAAGTACAACTGTACAAAACCCAAAAGCAAGTTTATCATAAGTTGTCACTCTACAAAATAATTATAATTCACCTGTATGGTATGTGCCTATGAGTCTGAAGATCCCTATACTTCTTTGCTAGACCAAAATCAATAGCATAGACCTGTGACAAGTAATGGCAGATAAATTACATTTCCAAAGAAAAAAGTGAGAATGGAGTGTTTCTCAATGAAAGATTTGAAATCCCACTTCTAATACCATAGTATATCCCCAATAGCATGTTTTTCAACAATAAATGTTAAAACACATGCATGAGTTGCTATAATTTGCTTGCACTAACCACAATTACACAAGAAAAAGATACCTGATTGGCTTTACGCCCTAGGCCCATTAAAAAGTTGTCAGGCTTTATATCACGGTGAAGAAAACCTCTTGAGTGCATGTATTCAACTCTGTTAATCTGAAAAGATGAAATTGAAGGAAAAAATTTATTATCCTGGCCATTTTAGACCATATTTGGGGAAGGAAGTACTAGTACTTACTAATTGATCTGCAAGCATCAACACTGTTTTCAATGTGAACTTCCTATTACAGTAGTTGAACAAATCTTCCAAACTTGGTCCAAGAAGATCAATAACCATGATGTTGTAGTCACCCTCAACTCCAAACCACTTGAGGTGGGGTATGCCCGCTTCATCACAAAATGACAACAGTTGATCATTTACTATATGTAAATATATCTGTAGGGAGAGAGAGAGACAGAGAGAGACAGAGAGAGACACTTACTTCCTCCTTGAAGAAGCATATACAATTTTGACTCATAGTGAAGCTGGGGATGCTTGGTCTTCCCAGGTTCCTGAAATTTGGAAAATAAACTATCCCATCAAATGCAAGATGATTGTAGACTAACGAGTTGAATGCAGACATATTCCAATGAGGGAATATAACAAGGTTGTAATAGAATGGAAGTTTATGGGCTCGAAATGCATCCATAACCATAATAAAGAGAGATTTAAAAAAATATATGGCTTCGTGTCTCTTTTCATTGATAATAAATGAAACGGAAGATGTATAACATGAAGCTTCAGTTGTAACTCGAATAGAGTTTGTCGACTAGAAAATCTAATGTACCATTCTTACTCTTATTCACAAAGATTCAAAAAGAGAGAGTATTTGATTTATTCTTTGATCTACTCTAGTGACACCAGTGTGTTCTGAACCTCTTGAATGGAAAAATGACTTGATGAAACATGAAATTAACTTCAATATCCCGTCAGGTATCACATTGAATAATATGTTAGAAAACTAAAGAACGCTTAGAAAATATTTACCCACAAACTAAACATCAGAACAGAATCTACTATTTAAACGTTAATCACATACCAGCTTAACAGCCACCTCCTCTCCAGTTTGCACATTTACACCTGACACCACGACATGAATTTCATTAGAAAAATACCTAAATAAATAAAAAACCAGAATGATTTTACAGAAGAACACTGATTACCATACCTAAATAGAGTTCTCCAAAAGAGCCACTCCCAATCTTCCTCCCCAACTTAAACTTCCCAGCAATCACATGCTCCATGATGCAACAATCTTCAATACAGCTCAACCCAAAAGCTCAAAATGGCTATTTTACAAGGATTTGTGCTAATTTCAGCCTTTATTGTGTGCATAACCCCAAACCCACCAAACAATAAACCCCCAAATCTCGAAAAATTCCCAATTGACACCTCTCCGCAGATCAAAACCTTCACTTTACCCCAATAACTCGGCCTAAGAACCACACGATCGCAATATAAGCATTAAATTAGCATCAAACAGGATAAATACCGAATCCCAGAAAATCCAATTGGAAAAATCCGACTTTTTCTACAATAATTACAAAATCGTCAAAATTGAGGGTAACTTTTTCCGAAAATCAAGAACCCCCTTTCTCCAACTACATATCCAAAACGCCCCAAATCCGAAATCCTTGATTGCAGACAGCGAATTGAAACCTCAATTACAAGAACATTGACCTACATTGACCCTGAAGCCCTCGAATCATTCTCCAAACCCCTTTTAAAAAAAAAAGAGTAAAAGTACCAAATCAAATGAGGATCAAGGATACGTTTTTGTATTGGGATCGGACACAGAAAGAGACAAATCGATTTTAAAATATAGACAGAAAATAGGGAAATTGGCGGAGGAAAAGAAACTGCAGAGAGAGACAAAGAGATAGAGAGAGAGAGAGAGAGAGAGAGAGAGAGATAATAATAAAGGGGGGCAGAAGAAGGGAAATGAGGCTGGGGAGATGATTAGAGTTTTTTATTTATTTATTTATTTTAATTATATATATATATAATTATTGTTTTTGGAAATATTTTTTTGTAATTATAAAAAGAAATTATAAATTATAAGATAAGAACAATAATAATAAAATATGAGGGGTAAAGCGCTACCTTCTCAGATTCTGAGCTGCAGCCTAACACGTTTGGGCTGTCTGTGAGTCTGTCAGGTCCGTCAGGTCAAGGCAAACTTGGAAAAAAAGGCTTTGGTTTCAATTTAAAAAAAAAACGTGTTCAACCCAAAAACAGAAAAGAAAAATACCAAAAAAAACGTGCCTGGCCTTCTCTTCTTCTTCTCTATCTGTGTTGGCTGGCTCTCTCAGATTTAGTTATTTAATAGATATGTGAGGATCTTCCTGGTCCTAATTATGGGATATTCTCAATCTCTCTCTGTCTGTCTTTTTTCTGATCTGGAAGTAGTGGGCCAGTCCGGTCTGGTTTGGTCTGGTTACTATTTTCTTGTTAGAAAATCGAACTTTGTCTCAGGCTCTCTCTCATCTTTGTGTGGTCGAATTTCTGGCCCAATTTGGTGTTGGATTTCTCCAGGTTTGTTTGCTGCAGTGTTTGCTTTCATTTCATGTCTCCAAGTCCATGACCCAAAAAAGAGAAGAATTTAAAAAATAAAAAATAAAACCAAAGAGAACTTTATAGCACATTATGGGAATTTGGGTTGCTCTCTTGGGAGATATGTACTTGAAGAAAGAGAAGTTGCCTTGAATCAATTACACAATTTTACTGAAATTAATTTTAATTGGGAATATAACAAATTGTAAGAATCCAATAAGAAAGCAAAAGGATCCAGCCCATCATCTGGTCATGGGTATATTGGGCTTAGTTGAGTTGGGTTTCAACATCAATCTAGATGCTGAGAAATTTTTTGGTGTGTCCGTAAGGAGGCGTTACCATGCCCTAATATTTAAGGCACGTAAAAATTCAATTTTTTTATTCCCATCATTCTAGTGGACTCCAAAGCATAGGATGTCAATAGGGTGTAGCTTAGTTGGTTGAACTCTTCCACTTCTATCCATGTGGACAGATGTTCGAAACCCTCAAATACCCAATTAATATAAGTGTAAATCCCCTCTCCTAATCAATTGTCTTAAAAAAAAAAAAATTAGGATGTCAATGCAAATTATCAACTTTACAATTAGAAATTAAGAGAACCCATCTCACAATTTCCATTTGCTTTGCTTAACTTAACATAATTTACCTGTTTATGTTGACATGTCGTAGATCTCACGACGACAACTGTTTTTCCCCCGTTGATGGCCTACGACAACTGTTTTAACACCACAATGTACCGGGAAAAGAAATAACGGCCTCATGATCTTTAAATCAACAACACTTAGAATTCACATAACTGATTTTCGGATCTTCACGACGTTTGTCTGTTGTTTTCAAGGTTTGTGTCCATTACCATTTTACGTTTTTCTTGTTCTGTTTTTTTCTTATCATCCTTTTCCATCTCCAGTTTCGTTGGACGGTGAGGCCTATAGCGTTAATGGTAGAGCTTTTTTTTTTAATCCCTACACACAGGGTGAAATTTTTTTATTCAAATTTCTTCTCTACTAATTTTAAAAAAAAATTGAAGTTATGCATCAATCATGGTATTGCATGATTTAAAAATTTGGCTAGTTCTTAACTTGCACGCATCGAATTATGATAGTAACACCAATTTATATTGATTGCCTGATTGGCTGCCAAGTATGACTTGTGGTGTTTATGCAGAAAATTGAACACAAGAATGGCAGGATCAGGAACTGTTTTCACTTCTGCTTTGGAAGGGACGAACCATGTTAAATCCGAAACGGGGGAGATGCTCACCAAGCCTTTTTTGGATGTATGCAAACACTTGCTGCCCGTTTTAGGTATGAAATCTTTTATTCTTACCCTAAAACAGATTGAACTCGATGCATTTTCATGTTGAGAACACAATTTTTTTCTTCATTCAATATTCTTCAATGCACATGCATGAGGACCTGTTTATGTTATGGCAGATAAGTTTGGAGCTGCCTTTGCGCCTGTGAAATCTGATATTGGTAACAACATATCGGTAAGGTGCTTTTTTAAAAAATTTATGGAGAAAACAATGTGAATTTTGTAAGAAGCAACACGTTCCAGTTTTTTAATGTTTGAAATATTTTTCCATGTTCTTCCCCACATTGCAGAGATTGGACTCGAAGTATTTGTCAAACCCGTCAGAATTCAATCTCTTGTACAGTCTAGTCCAGGTTGAGATTGAAGCCAAAAATGCAAAATCCTCATCCAGTTGCACAAATGCTCTACTCTGGCTAACAAGGTATGCCATGTTCATGTTGCATGTTGCATGTTTTTTATCAGCAAGCCAATCATTACGTTTTTGAGAATTCTCATGTCTCCGTAGGGCCATGGACTACTTGGTGGAGCTGTTCCGGAATCTGCATGACAATCCAGACTGGCCAATGTCCAAGGCTTGTTCCGAGGCCTACGGCAAGACCTTGAAAAAATGGCATAACTGGCTAGCTAGCTCAAGTTTTAGTGTAAGAACTCTCACTTGCTGATGTTTATCTGCACAATGCCATAGCCTCTTCTTCTAGCCTTTTAAAAGATTGTACTTGATGGGTTTTAGTTTAGTCATTGAGGCAGATCAAAGTAGAATATGCATGCTATTTTGCCTCAGCAACAAACAAAAAGAAAGGAAAATCTTTTCTTGATGCAATCCAAATGTGATTTGACCAATTTCTCCATTTAGGAAGACCATCTAGCATCTGATTTGAAACACACTGGTTTTTCTTAGATAATATATGCTTCTACTTTTGATGTCTCATGATCATCCACTGAGAAAAAGGAAATGAAATTGTTCTGATTCTCTCCGGTCGAAATGCAGGTTGGAATTAAGCTTGCACCAGATAGGAAGAAATTTATGGACATATTAGGTGGTGAAACACCTGATTTGAATTCTGACATTGGTAAATTCTGCACAAACTTCTCTCCACTACTCCAAGAGAATCATAAGTTCTTGGTAAGTTTTTCTCATGTTCATACAATATTTCCACTTTTGGTTCAAATTTGCATAACTGGGTTTTAATTAAGTTCTGTGTTTCTAATGTTTTCAGGACTCTGTTGGAATGGACAATGTGAAAGCTTGATGCATCTAAATGCTTGTTCATTACAAGTTGTATATGTATTTTAATATACCAAAATATATATATAATTCCATTGGTTTTCTTGTAAGCATTGTTTGATTTGCTACTAAATACATTTTCATTTTCTTTACCACTTACCTCAATTGGACTATAAATCAGTCCTCAAAAACAGAGAGAGAGAGAAATTAGAAGTTTAACCTGGATCTCTGGCTAACAAAGCAGTAAGAATCTTAGACCAACTGAGTTACTAATGATTCTGTCAAGTAAAAACTAGAGGTGCAACTCGGGTCGTGTCGGATCAATCCAAATTCGCCCGAATCCAGCGTGAGTTTTTACCCCACGCTAGATGTTATTCACTCTATTTACAATGATAGTAACTTGCAATGGAACATCAGAGATATGTCAGTGTTAAGGTATTGAAGTAGACCAATTTTCACTGCTAAGTAAGGCCAACAATGATGAACCAAAGGAACAAGGGGGCTTTAACTTTTACCTAAATTAATCAATGACTACATAATTAGCCGTACATATGGCAATTTTGGTTCACATCAATGATGCTTCATGATCTTGACTGGAGAAACACAGAGCATATCCGTTTGGTAGAAAGCATTTCTGCTCATAATTGCTTTTTGAAGAAGTGCCCTCATTCGAAGAACATTAAAAAAATTATTAAAAATTCATGTGTTTGTACTTTGACTTTCATGTTTTTCGCACAAGTACTTTTGATGGTCAGAAAGCGATTTTAACCAATCTAGAAGGCGTTCTTTACCCTTGCATTCATAACTAGAGTGTGACTTCAAAGAAAAAGTTAATAATCCTAAACCTAACAATAGTGGTCAACGGACAAACCTAGAGCAAAATGTAGTTGACCAGTTATGAAACCAGAAGAAATCCATTGTCTGTTTCATTTTAGTTTATCAATTCTAGTTCCCTATCAGTTGTGTCTAGATCTATCCATTTTCTCCCATGCAATTTGCAACCAAGGAAATAGCCAACAAACCATGGAAAATTCATATGCATCTAACAAAACCATTCATTACAGCCTCTAAAATGACCCGTTAAAACCTTCCCCTATATTTAGCATGTCAAAGATTTTCTTTCTTTCTCCTATATTTTCACACCGAAAAATTCGATTTACTTCTGGTTATGAATCGTAAAAAAACAATGCCCTGCCATCAAATGCACGAGATAAACGATAGCTTTACTTTAATTAAGCATAATTTGTTTGCCAGTTTTCATCCCTTTTCTCATCACTGCAACCCTCCATGGCCACATTTGTCAAAAGCTGTTGTTAGTTTTTGAACACCTTTTTCCCTTTCTTCAAAAGTTTTCCCCATCTTGTGCAAAATCAATACAAGAAAGTGAATGCATATATGCCCACTTCAAATTTCTGGGCATCTTTTTATTATTTAGTTTCTTATTTAGGAAATATATAGTTTGAATTAATGCAACCCTCTCATGGGGGCCTCTGTAAATTTTAGCCTTGCAGCAAGGTTTTCCTTCTGAGGTATCATTGGATGAAATGTTTGACTTTTTTTTTATTTCATTTGTTTTGATCATTGACTTTCTTCTTGTTACCAATATTTGCAGAATTGGAGGGCAAATTTTGGATCCCACTTCAACTAGAGACTTTCCAGGAGTAGCTTAATTGGTTCTTCATTGATAGAGCCAGTATATATATTATATAATCTTCCACAAGAATGGCAAACACTGCAAATAACACAAAGATGAAGGGCCTCTTGAAAGGCCTAAGATACATTTCTCAAATTTTTGGTATGTATAATTTGTGTTCCAAGTAGAAGCAGGCTTTATAATTAGAGTATTTTTTATCATACACAAATTTTATAATGTGGCCTGACGGATTTGCCCTCTGCTTTGGCAGATGATAACAAAGGCCAAGATATGCAGATTGGGTTTCCTACAGATGTAAAGCATGTGGCCCATATAGGATGGGAGGGTCCATCAACTGCTGCTGGTTCTCCAAGCTGGGTAATTAACCTTTTTTTGTTTGTTAATTTTTGCTTAAATGGTTAATTAGAAGCCTCATGAAAGCCATGTTTGTGGATGATGCTGCATGCAGATGAATGAGTTTCAAGCTCCACCTGGATACTCATCAGGACCTTTAAGCAATGGAGAGACAAAAGAGGATCCTGGGGTCAAATGGGTCTCTCAAGGTACTTCATTTTTGTTTTTGTACCCTAAAATTGTAAATATCCATGCAAATGTGAATGGTTTTGGTTGGATCACATCACCTTATTTCTGTATTAACAAGTTAATGTGTTGGATTTTCCAAATGACTATTCAATTTTTGTGTGTATGCATGTAGATTCAAGCCGGAAGGGTAGTTCAAGGGGTGCTAGGTCTCCGGCACATGACATGCCGCCACAGCAAACATCAAGTGGGCATGGAAATAGTGGAATCGACTCCCCTAAGAGGGAAAGATCAGATAAACCGAAGCAAACAAGGCGGTCTTCTAAGAATAGGGACACAACAGATAGTGTTACTAGAGGTATCCGGCAATCCATGGAGTCAATTCATGGCAGTGAATCGCCGCAAAACCCGCCAGACATCCCTAAGAAAACGCGGCGAAAGAAATCCAAAGATTCCTCTATTGGGGGGGCATCAAGAAAGGCTAAACCCCATGCTAGTTCAGAAACATGTACAGATCCTGGACGCCAACCTGCAACTACTTATAAATGTAGTAGCAAAGACCAACTATCTCAGAATTCTTTTCAAGAGGGGGAAGACAAGGGATTTACATGAATTTCTTCACAAAATTTATTATTGGTGTAGCTAGAATAAAATGTATCAGGGAAGTGAAGCCAAACAATTGTAACTTCAGTGTAATAACATCATTTCAATTTTTGAACATTTTGCTTCCTATGTTTTGCAATTTTTCAAATACAATGCTGTCCAGCCAGTGTATGTGCGCCAATTTCAAAGTACTTACCCTAATTGTCTACAGCTATCCATCCTTGTCCAACAGTAGAAAGATGATTTTCTTCTCTCTCTTCATGATTTGTGATCAATTATGCCTTCAATTAGATAAGAGCCAAAACATGATTGAGACTGTGAACAGCAACCATTCTGGGAAACTTCAGATTCTCTCTCCTTTTACCATATCAAATGCCAAAATAGTTGCTTGATCCCCACTCAAAAATCCCACTTCAAAATAAACAACTGCAGAATAGATAGTTGTTTACGTACCAAAAAGTTGAGATCATGTCCAACTTTTTCACTGATGGGCAGAATCCCAGGAAATTTGGGAAAATGTGATAAAACTAAACTAGAATGAAATCTAAAATAAAAGAAACCAAAAGCACCAATATTATATATATATAGAGAGAGAGAGAGAGAACCATGCTTAAAGATAATGCTATAATTTATATGCACTTTCCATTAAAAAAAGTCCATAATTACATTAGTTTTTTCCACTGTATCACCACATTGACTGCACATCCAAAATTCATCTTCATGTCAGTATAAAACCTGTTCCTTTCTTAATCTGTTAGATGACCTAATCCCAAGCTCTCTCAAGGAAAAACAAAAAAACTCAATTAAGTCTAATCCCAATTATTAAGCAAAGATAAGCATGAACAAAACCCAAGTGGCAAACAGAAGCTTAGAAGGAACAACAACCTGCACTGAAGAAGAAACCACACTGAGAAGGGCAGGATTAGGTTTATGGGGTTTTCTGCAAACCTTCAATTGCTCCAAACCAGCAGCACTCTTAGTCTTGGAGAAGAAGATGAAGCCATCGTCAACACAGAGTTGTGGGTTTCCAGCCAACTTCAGCTTGTGCCCAATTTTGGCAGAAAAACTGCGAGATAATGAAACCTTACCACTCAGACTATTGTTCTCCAAATTAATCTCATTCACAGATTCCAAGAACCCAAACTCCTCAGGCACTGTCCCTTCAAGCTTGTTATTGTCAAGCCCAAGGTATCTCAGATTCTTCAAATGCACACCCATTGAAGCTGGAATTTCCCCAACCAGTCCCATGTCTGAGAGTCCTATTCCCAAAATACCTCCCAGGTTTTTCCATATTTCCGGAATCTTCCCTCCCAGTAAATTCCCACTCAAATGCACTTGTTTCAGCTGAGGCATCTCAGCCAAAAACAGAGGAATCCCAGAGTTACTAAACTGGTTGAGGCTGAGGTCCAAAAGCTCTAGCCTTTGCATGTTCTTGAAGCTCTCTGGGATTTTACCAGAAAACCCATTGGAGCTTAAGTCTAGCTTCAACAGCTCCGAGAGATTACCGACCGATTCAGTGACATTTCCGGCAAAACCATTATAACCCAGATCAAGAACCTTCAGTTTCTTCAACTTGGCAAAACTCAGAGAAATTTCGCCGCGGAGTTGATTCCGAGACAGAGTCAACTCTTCCAGGTTGACTAGGTGGGCAACCCCGTCTGGGATGTTCCCATAAAACCCATTTCCGGTCAGAACTACCCTCCTCAAGTTGGTGAAATTACCCAGTATGCCACCGATGGAGCCCACCAGAGACGGGTTGTCCACGAACACGAGCTCCTCCAAACTTGAACCGAAACTCGGCGGAATTTCGGGGACCGAGACGCGCATTTCGGTGAAGCATTGGTAGAAGAAGAGCTTGCGGAGGTACTTGAAGGACGTGAAGAGAAGTGGGTCGATGGTAGAATTGGGAGAGCAAGGCGGGTTGGGCGTGTAGTCCGAAACGTACCCGAAACTCAGCTCGGTGACGTGAGCCGTTTCGGCGAAAGAAACGTCGGGGTTGGAGAATAAGTCGCAAACGACACCGTGTGGGGCAGAGGAGCAGAGGTCGTCGGGGAAGAGGGAGCGCCAGGGGATGGCGGAGTTGATGGAGTCGAGGACTTGGTAGACGGCGTCTTGCTCGGTGGAGCTGAGGAGGGGTTGCTGCTGGTGCGAAATGACGACTGTGGACAGGAGGGTAGCGAGGAAGAGGAGGGTAAATTTGGAAAATGGATGGAACAGAGGAAACCGAGCCATTGAAGAGAGAAGAGAAGTTGGAGAGGTTTTTTGGAGGCTGTGAATAAGTGGGTTTGAGAGAAGGAGGTGGAGACTGGTGGGTATAAGGATAAAAAAGGGAGGGTGTGGTAGGGTGTAGGAATGTTAAGGTGAGGTCTCTTCAATCTCTCTCATTCTCTCTGAGGAAGAGAAGTGGTTGGATCATGGTGTTTAAGTGGGGGAGGAGGAGGCTGGCTTTTTTCTGAAGCTGCTGCTGGTTATGCAAATTTTAGTGAATTTACCAATGTGGCCTTGGTTTTGGACTGGAGTGGAAGACCAACCAATTACCAACTTTTCTTTTAAATTAAATATATTTTCCATTTTTAAACAAGTAAAGTTGGGGGAATTTCTTCTTATGTACATTTTTAGATTTTATTGCAAGATAATTTTTGCCTTCCTGGTTTTACAAAAATTGCTCGAAGGAGCAAAACAATGCTCTTATACAAATAATTTGTTTATCACATCCAAATTAAATTAAAATGAACATAGAAGATTCTACATAAATAAGCCTAATCACAAAGAGTATATGCAGCAATTGGATGAAGTGAAAAATCGATAAGTATTATGAGAGATTTTCAATCATTGTTGTCATGATTCATAAACGACAGTTGTTATTTACCGTTTAGTCAATAGTCATACACTTCAAATTTATTATTTTGCTATTTTAAGATTTACACAAAACGAATGCATACATTGTGACAAATTCAATTTGACATTAACATTCTTTTTTTTAACATTCGACTTTATTTTATTTATGACTTGGAAGGAAGGAGAGGGGGTTCGACAAGTTTAAATACATACACACAAAAACATATAAAGAAAACTAAAGTCCCTAAATTGTATGTTATAAAATTTTATTAGCTCTACTACAACATTCACTCAACAATATTTTTTCTACTATATCAATATCCGCATCTATATTGGTAGTATTTCATAATCTTTTAATGGAAAATGCTTGAAATTGTCACATAATTTAATATTAGTTACTCATGCATAGTACGTTCAAGTAAAATTTGTGTATCACTGTATATGAACGGGACATGACATTGATATGTGTCATAAAAAAATTCGACAATCACCATAACTATTACATTTTTGTTCTAAGTTATTTTATTATAAAGAATAAAATCTTTAAACTAGATGACCAGAATTAAATTAACCTCCTTTACCCAAATCTCATTTTATTTTCAAAAATAAAATTACACTAACACCCAATAATAATAGAAACTTCAGTCCAGAAAACAATATATCATAGGGATTTTTTCGGGGGTCAAAATATATCATAGGGATTGATAAATTTGAAATTACATAAATACAGACTGCGGTTCCCCAAAAAGGACAAAACTGACAGGGGTACTGCAGACATTTACAATATGGACCGTATAGCTCTCCACCAACCTCATGCAAATTATGTAAAGCAGACGACATCGGGGCCAGAAGTCAGAATGCCACAGAGAGAAAAACTTTGAACCGGATAAACCTAGACCACATCAACCCCGTACCCCAAAGTGCTTCAACGGACACATTCCCGCCCTCGCCGCTAAAAGGCGTTCGACCTTTAACCGGCAGAAAGGCTGGGCTCGGAGGAGTTAACCGGCGGAGGAGCCGACAGGAACCTGCGCGGACATTGGCAACCGCGAAGCGACAGAGCCGCGCCGCACCCGCCGACTTACTGTCTTGTGTCAGCTGCTTGTACCATGAAAGCGACGCCTAACCGATCGAAACGAGGCGCATCAAGGGCACGGCTTGGACCGTGTCGACACGTGGAAGTTGTACGGAGGATCCGTTTCCGGAAATGTAAGAGGCATGCGAATTCCATGTTGGAGACGGGGTCGTTTTGCTCCAATCGCAGCTGTAAGGTCGCGGGAGGGACCACTGGGACCCACATGTTCAAAAATGCGTTTTTGCTGTTATTGCTTTTGGGCTTTTGACCTTTTTGCTGCGTCCTGGAGTGGAAGGAAAGCAAACAGAGCCTAGAGGAGGTGGGGCTCTGATTTCTGAAACTAGGGAAAAGAGAGAGAGAAAGAGAGAGAAAGAGAGAGAGTGGTCCACACCCAATATGCAAAATAGCACTAAAATGGAGTCATTGGGATACAGAGGAAAACACTGACTCCATTTGCATACCTGGATTAAGCTTAGCTTAGGGTTTGTTTTGTTCGCATAAATTTGAGTAAAGAATTCAATGGTAGATCCCAAAATTTAGATATCAAGCGATGGATGATATGACAGTGTTTTATCTGCACAAAATAGATGATGTTGTTTTTTAAAAAAATTTATTATTATTTTTTTAATTTTTAAAAGTTTGACGAATTTAACAAACTGAATCAATTTTACAACTGTCCCATCATTTGGTGTTTACGATTACCGAATTTTTTTAACCGGTATTAGTATTTTTCTTTGGTACTCATACTTGTTTTTGTTAGTACTAGGTTATAATCACATTGTTCGGTGAACCCATGAAGCATTTTTGTACCATTATGATAAGGCTAATTTTTTTATTATTAATTAATGAAGATGGATATATTTGAACTTGAAATCTCTTTCAACTAATCGGAATTTTAGTACTCTAGTCTAGGCCTACGATGATCGGCGCTTAGGTTTTCTTGTTCGGTTTCGACCCTCCTCCATGCATGAAAAATAAAAAATATAAGGAAATCTAGCGTTTAATTTTCTCATCCCATTTGGGCCTTTTTTTAATTTTTATTATTTATTCATATATACAAACTTCTGGCCCATTTGATTGGGCTTAAAGGCCTCTGTGTATCACAGGCCAACTTGAGCCTGGGCTGAAAAAGATCTTCCTTATCGAGGACGGAAGAGTATTTTCCTCGTTTTTTCCCTCCCATATGCTCATTGACCAGAATCAAACTTCCCTCTTTTCTTCATTCCTTGTTGACTTGTACAAGCAAATCATCATCTTTTGTTTCCTTTCTTATCCACTCAAATAACTGAGATTTTGCTTGGAACAGAAAAAATTAAATTATTTATGTAAGAAAAAGCACACAACCAGACGAACAGAGACTAACTAAGTAATTATCTGTGTATTTATTTGACCACATTGTCCAAAACAATAATGGATCAAACGTGGTGGACTTTGAGCACTGATTGCACAAGTCCTAATACTATCGTCTCATGTTGTCTTCCTCTTAAATTGTGCAGCCACTTGAAAGAACTCAAATTGTCTTCCTCTGTCGCTTTTCTCTCTACTTGGTATTTTCCATCAAACTTTTCCCAAGCAAAGCATACTCACAGAAACACCATGGTGAAGCAAGACCAGAAACCTCAGAAAGTTTCCATGTCTGCTGGGTTTTACAAACGACATCTTCCTTCTCCTCCTGCAATTGAGTTTGCTTCTTCTCATGGCAAGGTTTGTGGCTTTGTAATTTTAATGTTTTTTTGTTTAAAGTTGAGCTTGAATATTGGAGATGTTGGTGTTTCAAAAACACATTGGTGTTAGGTTGGTTCATTGTCTTGTTTTTAAATGATCTTTTTATGATTCAAAGGGGTGTTTAGCATGAAGGTTTAGCTAGGGTTTCACGTAATTACTATAACAATTATTAGATAAAAGCAAATTAGTTTGTCTTAACTAAACGTAAGACTTATCGAGTTTGTATTATTCAGTGAGCTAGAGTTTCATTGTTCTGTTCATCGTATAAAAACAAATTTTCAAAAGGGTTTGTAGCTCAAAGGTTTCGAATCTCTCCTTACTTCAACCTCAATTGTATATATATATATAAACTTATCTAGTTCGCGTATTATTTAATGAACTAGAATTTTATTGTTTTGTTCATCGTATCAAAGTAATTATCAAAAAGCTTGCAACTCAAAATTTTTGCATTTTGAATTTCTCCTTACTTCGAACTCAATTTTATATAATTTAAAAAAAATGAATAATATGGTTAGTTTTTCAAGTTGTTATATTAGAAGTACGAGAAATATAAAAATGTGATGATCACACTGTTAAATCGTGTTATACTATTAGGCAAAAATAAAATTTGATATGTTTAATCTAAGTCATAGTATCATACATGTTATTATCATATAATGGATTTGATTACACCAACATCTTAAGGTTAATGCTTATTTAATAACACACTTAATTTTAAAATTAAGTCCAAATTTGAAAAACAAATAAAATCTTCAATCCACCCACGTTACGTAATCCCCACCTCGTCATCATTAGCCATCGCCATCGCCATCGCCATCGCCAAGTTCGCAGCCCCCTTCCAGCAAAATGACAATCTTATCCTATTCGTTGATTATTATTCAAAGGGTTTTATTTTTGGACTCATTTGTTGTTTTCTGCCACATTCTTGACTAAAACTCTCGCTTTTTGAAACAGTAAATTACGCGGGTTCCTTCCTAATCGCAGCAGAGAATTTTCCTACCAAAACCCTAGCAAGCATTCTGCCTCCCACATACAGAAAGAAACCCTTTTGACTTGGTCATCTCAATAATTCACATTTCTCAGTCCTACCAAATCATACGCTTATTTGTTTCTTTCTTTTTTTTTTGCCTTTTCTCGGTTTAAATTTTGGAAAAAATAAAAAGAAATAATTAAAAATGGCTATGGCTGGGCTGTATAGGCGAATCCTTCCTTCTCCCCCTGCAGTCGAATTTGCCTCTTTACAAGGAAAGGTACAAGCTTTAGTTGCTTCGTCACTCACTCCCTTATATATCCTTCAAAATCATATTTTCTTTTATGATCCCAATTATTTTATTTTATTTTTTATTTGTTGGTTTGCGATTCTGTTATGCTTTATAATTAAAGCTTGCAACTTTGTTCTGTAAAATGATTTTGTTTTTACAAAGAACTCACAGGATTTTGATACTAGTCTGAATTTTTTTTTTCCTTTCTTTTTTCGAATTTTTTTTTTGTGTGTGTAAAATTTTGGTCCAATGTGTTATTAGAAAAGCTGTGTCACACTTAAGGTTGATGTAATTTTAGTTGTAGAATGGAGGAGAGGTAAATATTTAGCTAAGCAAAATCTGATAAGAATTTTTCAGTTCACTGTAAGAGTAAGGCTGTGGTTTGGGACTGTACCAGTTTGTTAGTCACATTATGTGGGCCTTACGTTTTTCTAGGCAGTGAGTGATTT